GGTCTAGACCTGCTCTATTTGAAAAAGTGTCCTGAGATAACTTCTGTTATGAATTGGCGCTATACAAATAAAACTGAATTGAATTGAAATTTTCATTAAAGAACAAATTATCCAACAAAAAGTCCACCTTCAGCATTAGTATGTGTTGTGCCCTTAAACGCACAGCTGTCACCTCACTTGTTTGAGTGTTACACTTTAAACATCCATTGCAAACACACAAGAACCATACATTTTTCCAAGAAACTCTCAGGACCTTTTTACCATGACAAGATTATCCTTTTAACTTTTTAACTAATCTGCTTTCTCTGCCATGTGGACCAGGCGCTCACAGTGACATACTGGATTATGATCTTTTCAATTTAGATGAAGGATTCATTGATCAGCAACCCAGTGTCCACTGGACAGGTGAGGATGGGGGTGTGATAGTAATCAATTTTGCATTCTGTTTAGAGAGTTTGGTCTGTCAGTTCATCAGAGTTTTCATATAAATTAAAGCTTTTTTGCTCCACTACTCCAAAGCTGCTACACTAGAGGGAGCCACAACATCACAGTTTTGCAATTTCAAAACCGTTCTCACTGGCAGAGCGAGGACACATTTCTCCTCAGCTCCACATGTGTAGCAGTGACTGATAATATGACAGAAAGTTGTTATATGGTTACATTTGTAGTCTTTTAAGCCTCTTCCATCACACTGCTTTGTCCTTTTGATGCAGAAACATTGCTGTACTGGGTCCTGTTCTAAGCTCAGTATTAAAAAGGGAACAAGCTGTGGGTGTAAACATGAAGAGAGGAGGATGTTAACAGTCACAGTCCATAGTGCTGTGGATTCAGAGGAAGAAAAGGAACTCGTTTTTCACACAGCCTGGGTGATGTATGGGGGTCCGAGCAGACTCTGACAACTGCAGAGTCAGTGATGTTCTGCAGACGACTTGCTCTAAGAGCAGGGAGAGCGGGCGGGGGAGGACGCGGATGTCGACACAATTCGCTGTGATATTAACAACGGGTTACTTTTAAGGGTCCTGGTCCAATCAGTCAGGTGGATCCAGTCCCTCAGGTGCTACGCGAGCTGACAGGGTTGACCTCTGAGGGATGGAATACCAAGACTGTGATCTCTCTCTGTGTTTCTGCTCTGTGTAAGAGACTGCAGTGGCACCACAACTCCATTTCATTTACTAAAGCTGCGATAAAGCAACAATCCATAAAATACCTGTAATTAATATGTAATTGACCCTTAAAAGCACAGCAAACACCTTAAGTTCTTTAGTATGGTAGCCAGAGATTCCTGAATCAGACAGGTTGGAAATAAACCTTGGTTGGTCAAACCTTTTGGAAAGGGAAAACAAAGCTGAACTGTAAAATTCAGACTGTCTAAACATTGCTCACAGTTTCCAGACCCATTTCCTGCTTCAACTTTGACCTACTGTACTTACTGTAGTCGTGTGCCCACAATTTTCCTGTAGTATGGGGGGTTAAGCAGGCACAAGAGCTCCATCTACAGACAGCTAACACACAGTATTTGCTTCAAATTGCATGAAAAAAAAAAAATTAGCAGAGAATTATATCCTCATTATGCATTCTGCTTTTTCCTTTGTATACGATTAAGTGGCAAGGAAAGGAGATTGCCCATTGTTCCAGGTTAACTACTTGATCCAGCTTCCCACTATGCATCAAATTATACGTCTGTTTCTCCCAAAAGAGTCAAATGTATAGCAGTTTTATGCCAGTTTTATTTAATGAGCACTTATTTCTCCCATCTTTCATGTCTGCAGATTATAAATAAAGAACTTTTAGCACTGTTTTTTGTGTTGAACTTTTTTAACATTGCCTCAACCTGGGCACCTGTAAAGTAAAGTCTTGTAACCATTTTTACAACTGTACTCACTGTGTTTGTGTGCGCGCAGTTTCCTTGTACAATGGGGGATTATTAGAAACATTTCAATGCAATGACTAAAGGAAGTGAGTAAATTAAGTAGTTTAGGTCATGTGGATAAACTGTTTGTTGTCTGATCATCTGACTTCTAATTTTTTGTTTTCCATTTCTTTTAAAAATTACCCATACACATAGAAAAAAATGCAGTAAGGATGTAAAGAAAGAAGAGAGTGATGCACTACAATGAGTCCAGATGACAAACCAACCATATCACTGTTAGCCGCTGCTGAAGTAGTCAACAGTTTGGCAGTTTTGCAAGTAGAACCTGTACAGCTGCGGTCTTCAACAGGCTCTTCTTCATCCCATGGCATTTATTTATTGCATCCTCTGAAGAAAAAATTAGCACCATCAGGTTTTTTCAGAATTGTAGTATCAATTAGAACTGAAGTATCAGTTCTCATCATCAACATCAACATCCCTATCCCTACTCACCAACATAACAAACTCTATGGTTAAGATTTAAGTTTAGTTACAAAACCTTGGTTCGGAGTACTAGTTTTATGCTGCTATAACAATGCACCTAGTCATACACCACTGAGGTCCTTGTCAGTTAAACCTAAACATGTGTCATGTGTAGGCAGTTAACAACTTACTGGTGCTGTTGTGTTTCTTGCAAGGGCAGTCTCTGTTCCGTCATTGTGTTCCCAGATCAGCAATTGCTTGGGTGAGTAAAATGTTATCGTGACTGACAGAAATGATGGACTTTAGGTGCTTAGCACATTGAACAGGGTGGGATGAGGGCCGGGGTACAAGAATTGGTGATAAGGTCAGAGATGGGTTGAAGACCAGCCATCCAACCGAGCAAGATTAGGAGTCTAGCATGCTCTCCGCTCTTTGAGACTGTACTTAGAAACAGTGGGGCTTTGTTTAACTGATTAAAGGAGCAGTATGTAGGATTTAGTGGCATCTAGTGGTGAGCCTACAGATAGCAACCAGGTCCTCTTCTATGGATTCCACCATGTTGAACTGCCATGTGTCTACAGTAGCCCAGAACGAGTTTTGTATTTCCTACACACCTACAGCCTGTTAACATTCTCAGGTCATCAGATGCAGATGCAAGCGGTGTTCAGTTAAATGCCATCTGCAACTTCACCACTACATGGCACTAAATCCTACACACTGGTCCTTTAAAATATCTGATTTTGAGGAGGCAGTGCAGGACAGTGATTCGTATTATGGTGGTACTGGATCTAGACCACCTGTTTTTATACTAATTTCTCTTAACACCTCAGTAGAGGGTATATGTGATCACAGATCTAATTTTATAGTTTCAGTAAAGCTGTGAACTTCAGTACATGCTGAAGTACTTCACAGACCATTTTTTTGCATGGAACTCTCAAAGAGAACTTCCTTCCAGGCTGTAACTCTCAGCTGGGATTGGCAGAGCCTAACCCTAAGTGTGGCCCCAACCTCAACCTTAACCCTGTGTAACCTAAACCACAACATAACCCTTTAATTGGTTAATTCTGCTCAAGCCCTTGTATCCGAGAAAGCATGCAACATGCTCGACTCTACATTCACCCTCCGACAGGCTGAGAAAAGAAGACAGTTAGCTGAAGTGATAGCATAAACAACAGCCAAAGAGTGTGTTTATATTAGACTACAGCACCGTACAGAGAGAATATATGTGAGGGAACATGTGTGTATGTTTGACAGAAAGAGGAGGGAAAGGGAAGGACAGTCCCACGGTGGGACTGTGAGGAGCAGGCCCATTCTCTCTTCTCCTGACTGTTTGGATTGGTTTAAGAAAACAAATCCCTCTGGCCAAGCGGTAGGCTGAAGACAAGCGCTCCCTGGGCCCCCGCCTTTCCTGCTACTTTACACTAAACTCTTCCAGATGATTCATGGGCTCTCTCCTCTCAGTGACTCGCTCCCGCTCACCTTTCATTCGTCAGAGCACAGGCTGATGGGGATCTCCGCTCGGTGCACTGCAGCCCATCATTAACCAGCGAGACCTGCCTAATCTGCTCTGAACCGTCTCCCTACGCCCTGCAGCAGTTTTATACAGTATTCATGTTTCATTTTCCAAGGATGCAATATGGATCAGTTATGCTTGGAATACGTTGAGTTCCTGCTTCTAATGGGCCCAGAGGGTTTTCTGGAGGGTTGCATCAGTATACAGGCTAAAGTCATGGAACAAGCAACATAGTGATTATCTCAGCCCGGCAGTGGTGCTGAAACCCAAGCCGAAAGTTTTCATTTATACTCAGGGGTGCTGCACCTGCAGGTGCTACAGTACAGGTGTTGCAATACTGCACTTTCACAGAAACATGATTCCATCCCTGTCACTTCTTTCAGAGATGAAGCAAAACTAAAATCTGTCAAAATAGTATTTCAGAGAATGAATTCCCATTACATTATAAACTGTTGGACAAGTTAGATTGATTGAATGGCCAACCAGCCAATCACAGCCATTTGGCCAACCCACCAGTTAAGAGTAAACCATTGAAGTACGGTATTCAGAACATCGACATACATAAGGATGGATGACATGACAGCTTGCCAATAGTGAAGCCAATACATCTCAATTGCTCCCTGGTGGCTGACTGCAGTATAGGTCATACAGCCCACTGCCTCCATGTTAGCAGATGGGCCAAACTAAAAAACTCAAAGTACATGTCAAACACATTTTTCCTGTCATTGATAGTAGTTCTTATTGATGTATGTTCAAGTGTTCGTTTTTATCATCAGTTTGGTTTTAATTAATTTTGATTTGGCATATAGTGGATATTGGAGGGCGGTAGATACAATTGAGGACACTGAAGTCATGTTCATTGCATTTTTATGTAAACTTTGGCATATAGCAACAAGCAGGGGTTTATGTCCTACAGTTTAAAACCCAC